TCGCTTTATCTAAACTTCTGACTTGTTTACAATCCACTCGTCAATATATGTGCCCTTTTTGTCAAATTAAGTGTGATTTCATCACACATGATATTCACTTTTATCAACTCACTTTTAAATATGCTGATCCAACTCATCCGGATCTCTCTTATGTTACTGTGGATCCGTTTATAAATTCCTAATTGACGCTTTCACAAGGTCTAAATCCCAATTTACCTTTCACTCCAGCAGCTATATCTCAAGAGCGCTTCACCGTGCAGAGTGCCTATGCTCTGATTCTATGCTTGTAGAAATAAGGCATTACCTTCACGGGTCGTCTCTTTAATTAAACTGGTGTAACCCGGGAAACCTGTGGACGCCTTTCCCAGATGGCCTGTTGCATTTCGAGTGGATTTATAGTGCATTTTGGCCATAATATTAATGTTTCGTGACGGTTGTGTATTTATGAATCACTAGTATCATGACCGCCAGTCCTTAACCTTGTAGTTGTTTCTTCTAGCAGGATAAATCTACCCAATAGTCTTCGCTTAGTTTTCGAAACTTCCTATTTAGCATTTTCCTCGCGATCCCTTTGACAATAGTTTATCGCTCCCAAGCTCTCCTTTTTGCTGGTCTTGACATATCCTAGTTTTATACAAATGTGGTGCTTTGCGGTCACGTGACTAGGGAGGCAGTTAATTACTAATATCATAGAAATTCAATATTATGGTCATAATGTACTAAATATCCACTCGAAATTTAGGAGGGGATCTGGAATAGATGTGCGCAGTTTGTTCAGGTTAAACGAGTTTAATTATGGAGTCGACCTAGGAATGTAATTCCTAATATTTGTAAACATGGTAGCATGGCCTAAACTCCCTGCTCTGGGAGTCGATGGGTTACGTGCTTTTAGGGCCTTGAGAAATAGCGCCTGGAGTAAAACAAACATTGGGACTGGAACTGTGTGAAATCGGTCAACCATAAGATAATAAACGGATCTATGGGACCATGAGGGAGATCCGGATAGGAGGCCCGAGTTGGGTTAGACAATCGGATAATAGTAGTTAAAGGTGAACAGGAGCTTGATAATGCCACAAAATGCTTCAAAAAAGGGTTACATCCCTTGAATACTAACATAATTTACTTAAAAAGCTCGCGATTTCAAACAAATTATTTTATAATTATTGCAATCTTTGTATTCTTTTGAAATATATTAGATATATCCACTAATTCTTTTACTAAACTAGTATCTCATAAACTTTAGATCCTAAAGGTGATTTATATTCTAAAGGCTGAGCTCTCTACAAGGATATTATTAGGTTTTATAAGCCATTGAAAATCATTAGCCTTGTCTCTTTGATCCTTACATAATTCATGATAGACCTTAGTCTTTGTTTTATCACGAAACCGAATTACTTAATATAAAACCACGAATGTATATATATAATACTGACTTACACTTGAATAGGGTAACAAACATGGCCTTACTCACTCTTGGTGCAACGAAAACATCTTGAACTACATACTTTTGATTAGCCTATCGAGGATACTCGCCCCTGATCAATTAAAAAAACCTTAACTATAAAGAAGACTATGAATATAATAACTCAGAGAAATCGCAAATTATTACTTTCATTTTGGATTAACGATAGGACACGATCCAATTGGCCTATGTAAATGATTCCGCTATAATAAAGGCGCTATCTGCTCCAAATTTTCCTAAAGCTCTGAGGCAATATCCCTCTTGTTTCAGATAAGGTGAAATTAGGCATGCATTACAAACGCCTCTTTAAGCAAAAATTGAGGTATTTAAATATTAATCCATTAATAAAATATACAAAACCTAGTTTTTCCAAATATAAACTCTCATACTTTAACAAAATCAAGGGTACTTTTTGTGCTACTAAATGGAAGAGGAAAATGAATATAGCGTCTAGGAGGTTCAACGGTAATTGACATGTTATCCTAAATTTTAGGAAAGCTAAGCTTTCTAAAATTTAATTTAGACGTCAGTTCTACTTAAATCATTGTGGGAAAATTCTACTCGAAAACCTCCAAAACCTATTTAATTATTTAGAAGAAAATTAGAATTATTTTAGTATTAAATAGAATAAGTGTCAAAAGTGAATGGGCAAAATTAAAAACATAAGAAAGTAGGGTTTCGAGACTACCAGGCTATGTGAAATTCAATGGAAACGTCAGCTCAACTCATATCATTGTGGGAAATTTCTTCTACCAGTCCTTCATCACCTTACACGAAATAGGGTGAATACATCTCATTAAAATTAAAAACAGTTTTGCTCAAGTACCCTTGATTATATTTAGAAAAACTAGGTTTTGTATATTTTATTAATGGATTAATATTTAAATAACTCAATTTTTGCTTAAAGAGGCGTTTGTAATGGATGCCTTATTTCACCTTATCTGAAACAAGAGGGATATTGCCTCAGAGCTTTAGGGAAATTTGGAGCAGACAACGCCTTTATTATAGCGGAATCATTTACATAGGCCCCGGTTAGATTAGTCTTGCGCTGACTTATTATCCCATATTTAAGTAATTTTTTGTCATGCCTCTTATTTATCAGATCCCGAAACCTCGATGACTTCTGGTCAGTCATGCTCTGGAATTTTTGAAAATCATTTAAAGTAAGAACCATACTTAGATCCTTCCTT